AAAGAGTCGACTCTATATATGAAGAGTCGACTATGAGATGTAGCAAATACATTTCCCGCTCACTGGAATTTGGGAGTCGACTCTTGATGCTTTATAGTTGACTCTCATAGCCTGGAGAGTTGAATATGGACTGATATATTCAACTCTTAAGCCCATTTTTTTGGTTTTCCAGAATTTGCCTTTTTTTCAATAACATCAACGGTATAATCTGTATTGACTGGAGTATGAGACATACATTACTATTAAATAAACTTCAAAATCTTTCTATATACAATCACAAATTGTAAAAAATACTAATGATCCATTAAAACCGACATGCACATCAAACTTTAAAACAAGAACCACACATTGCCATTCAAGCACACTATGAACTACCAAATTGCTCGCCATCAATGGAAGCACATCAAGAACATAATCAACCAAACAAAATCATCACAATTATGATATGCTCATTTATATTAAAACTGCATCTACTGTCAACATTATATGTACATATTCAAATATATAAAAAGTCAGAACATTAATAAAACCTTCCAAACAATGTTCATACACTAAAATGAGAATTTAATAGGCATCAACAACTGCAACATCTGGATTTATGCGTCTAGATGTGAAAAAGGATCAGGTGGTTGCTGTTCGGAGGATGTGCCAACAGTAGACGGATCTCTTCTTGTCCCTTGAAGACCTATAGGTGCTGCCATCTACCACTCGCGAATGTGATCATCGAGCTTCGATTCAATCCGTGTAAGTCTCTCAAGAATGAGCTGCATTCCTCTCTGTGTGCTTAATCTCTAAGGAACTCGAGATGAAGCAGCTTATGAGGGACCTGCTTCTTCAGTTTCTTCGGCATGTTCTTCATCATCAAACCCCTCACCTTCATCATCTTGTCCTCTTCTTCTCCTTCTCTGCTTCATTTCCCACGAATTTGTTCTTGCATTGAATACATACCCCATTTTGTTCAGTGAACTGTCGTTCAGAAGCTCGTGACGGTATAAGTCTCGGGACTTCATACCATGCAAATCAACACCCACATTTTCCATAAGTAACGTGATCAGAGTGCCATACGCCAGTGCGAGTGTCGATCTACCCCTATAATACACCATGTGTCTCATAATATGGTGTCCTAAATTGATCCGCCTTTGGCTAAGAATATATGCAAACCACACACAATCCGGACCACTAAATTTCCCAAAAGAACCTTGCCTTGGCAAAATTATGTTATTGTAAATCCAAAACATTAATCGATTCTCCAAATTCAAGTGGTGAATGCTTAATGTTTGTCCCTCATTCCACTCATCCCCCATGATAGATTTCTTTGCTGATTCCTCTGTAAATGCATGCAATTCCCTGGCTCCCTCATTTGGCAAATGTAAAACATCATTTATGGTTTCAGCATCAAACTCAAAAGTCTTCCTAAGAACCGTTATTTTATACCCTCCATCCTCCGAGTCACTCAAATTTGCATAAAAAATCTTAATCAATTGCAGGTAAACCCTCACCTTTCTAGTTACTAATTCAGTCCATCCCATTGCATCTAACATTTCTCTTACATGCAGCCCCCCTTTGCATATATCTTCCAAAACTACTCTAAACCCATAAATGACATTCCTATTTCCTAAATTTCTATATATTTCCATAGCATTTGTAGATACAAAGTTCCGAGGGTTATCGGGTTGAAATACCTACTTGGTGTCTGTGCTTTCACCGCTCTCCTCAGGACTTTGCTCAGCCCTTTGACGCCTTCCAGAAGTGCTTGCCGCCTACCCCCTTGGTTTCTTTACAACTCTTTTAGTCCTCACCATTTTGGGAGACAATGCACGATTCCTAGAGGAATGGGCCGAAAATGATGTGGGTTTGTGTTTGGGTCAGTTATTTTTGTGAAATTTGGGAGGATTTTGGCTGTTTTGAGGGTTAGGTTTCTCAGAGAGTCGAATAGGAGAGAAAGGGATAATGGGGAAAACTGGAATTGTCACGCTTTTAATCAAATCCCGCGCCCAAGAGTCGACTATAACTTTTGAGAGACGACTCTTTGAAGAACAATAGTCGACTCTAAGAAAGATTAGTCGACTTTGAAAGTGGAAGTGTCTACTTCCCTGCAACAAGAAAAGTCGACTATATGTAACTAAGAGTCGAATATGTACCGTTAAGAGTCGATTCTTTAGTGAAGAGTCGACTTTGTGCTGAACCAAATTGTTTCCCTGCTCTCTGGAATTTGGAAGCCGACTCTTGTTATGGTATAGTCGACTCTAGTGCCTAGAAGAGTCAAATTTGAATTCATAGAGTCGACTCTTTACTGTAATTCACAATAATTTTAAATTTTGCGTTTGAAGAGTCGAATATATAACTCGATTTATAACCCTATAATTATATTTATTACCTTCATAATATCACATAACTGACCCTTAATATCACATAACTTCCTTTTTTACTGTAGCAATTAACTTTTCCCTCTCCTTCATTATTCTAGCAACCATTTTCCTCCATTAATCCCCCTCACCCCCATTACTTCAATAACTGTTCTCCATTATCTCCCTCTCCTCCAACCATTTCCTTCATTTTTCCTTTTATTTTATTATTATCATTGTTTTTGTGTCTACTTCGCACCCCTACTCAGATTTTTTATGCACTCTCCTCCCATCTTTTTCTTTGGGTTCATGATCGTGAACCCAGATCTGAGTTTGTGTTAATGAACCAAATTTGATCTGGCTTCACAAACCCAGATTTGGGTCTGTCTTCACATGAACACAAACCCAGATCTGGGTTTCTGTTCATGAACCCAAATATCAGCAACTTCACCTTAATGCATTTTTTGGGTTTGTGTTCATGAAGCTTCCCTTCTCTTCTTCCTCAAAACAAGCCCTTTCCTCCATCTTACATGTTGTTTAGAATTTGAAATGAAAAGGGAAAAGAACATTCAGTTGGAAATATGGTTCCATAACAGCAAGTTAGATGTGGTTGAGAAATCTAGATTTTATGAATTAATTGTGAATTTTCATTTTAATATTTTTTATAGGTAAATTTTACTTGAATTCTTGCACAACATGAAATGGATTATGAAAATTTTGTTACATTTTATGTTGGGATATTGAGAAACGTTGTTCAAGAAATTTTGATTTATTTAATAGTAGAGTATTTTTTAATAATGAAATGTATATAATAAGGAAATATAAATAATTAAACTTTAATTGGACTTAATTGTAAGATAATTGATTTGATTTCAAATGTAATTTATTAATTAATTGATATTAAATATAATTATAATAGCTGAACATTATAATTAAAAATGTTAATAGATGTTTTAGTTTATAACTTTTTTGGATTTTATGGTATGAATTGTAATTATATAAATATTTTTTTCATGTCCTTAAATATTAATATCATATTTTTTTATTTTAATTGATTATTATATCTTTTAATTTATTAAAAAACAGATAAATTATATAATTTAAAATAATGTAATGTGATGATATAAGAAGTTATTATATTAAAAAAAGTTTAACATTAACCATTTATAATGTG